AGGAGGAGGGGGAGGAGGAGGAGGAGGAGGAGGGGAAGGAGAAGAGGAGGAGGAGGAGGAGGATGAGGAGGAGCGACAGCCGCGTCAGGGAGAAGTCGAGCCCGCGGAACAAGATCGGCAGGCAGGCCGGCCTCCGCCGAGAAAACGTCGGAGCCAAAAGCTCTCGGGAGGCAACTGCTGGGAGGCCCTCGTCGGAAACCCTATAGGAAAAGAAGGAACCATCATATGAGCGTAAACTATTGGCGCTCCGCGCGGATTTCTTGGATTCGCGCTGGACCCCCCTCGCTGGCGCGCGGAGCGCGCCAGGGGCGGCGCCGGAGGCGCCGCCAGGGGGCCCAGGCGCGGATCCAAGAAATCCGCGCGGAACGCCAAAAGTTCATGCTTCTGTTTTTTTGTCCTTCTTCGATAGAAGGAGAATTAAGTTAAGCTCCAACGTGAGGCTTCTACGCTGGACTAGGTGGCGGATCGAGCGAGATCTAGCCGGATTAAGCGGGATTAAGCCGGACTAAGCGGTTTAAGCCAGATTTCGGACCAGGGCAAAGTCAACACCGCATGCACTCGCCTGAAAACGAACAAGACCTACACTGACGGAGGGCTACTCGTTTTCGAAAGGTGGCTCTCACCCTAGCGCCGCGCACACCCTTCTTAAACATTTGCTGCAAAAACGTCACGGATGGAGGGCGGGCCGTTCATGTCTCGGGCGCCGCGGCCCTCTCAGAGCATTCCGGAACGCTCCGAAAGCGTTCCGACACGCTCTAGAACGGATTTGTCCTCGTCCCAGCCCCGTCCGACATCCCCCCTGAGCCTTGGATGCTCATTCTGGGGACCGCTTTGGAGCCAATCGCTCCGCTCGTGCGCCGAAGCTGCGTCGAACTTCCGTCGACTCAGGTCGAACCTGAGTCGAACCTGAGTCGAACTCGAGTCGCAAATTTGAGTCGAACTTGAGTCGAGAACTTGAGTCGAACTGGAGTCGATAGGTGTGGCCCAGGAAGGCCCCCAAAACGAGCATCGAATGAGCCGATGCCTGGGTGGCTTCTGGGTCCTAACTTGGTGGACGCCATGCCATGACAATGGACACTCTAACAATTCTATCCTTGAATTAAAGATGTGTTTAACATGTGTACGTAAAACATGTTCGAAACATGTTTCAAACATTGTTTTAACATATGTAAAAACCTGTTGTACACATCTTTTAGACATCTGGAATCATTTGGCAGCATGCTTCCTTTCCACTGCTCGATTCCCACAATCCTAACTCGGCCCTCTGGCGGCACTTCGGCATGAGCGGGACCCCGGGGGGACGCTCCCGGCGAGGCGCGGCCACCGGAGCGCACCCCGAGGCCCGAAAGCCGCCGAGACCCGACACAGACGTCCGAAAATGAGGGGCCTGCTTTCCACCACCACCACAACCACCACCACCACCACCACCACCACCACCACCACCACCACCACCATAACCTGAAGTGGGAGGGCTCCTCCGTTCCTCCTCCTCCTCCTCCTCCTCCTCCCCTCTTTCCTCCTCCCCCTCCTCTCTCCTCATCCTCCATCTCCCCTTTCCCCTCTTCCTCCTCCTCCTCCCTCCTCCTCACCTCCTCCCTCCTCCTCCTCCTCCTCCTCCTCCTCCTCCTCCTCTCCTCCTCCTCCTCCTCCTCCTCCTCCTCCTCCTCCTCCTCCTCCTCCTCCACCTCCTCTCTCCTCCTCCTCCTCATCTCCTTTCCTCCTCCTCCTCCTCCTCCCCTCCTCTACTCCTCATCCTCCTCCTCCTCCTCCTCCTCCTCCTCCTCCTCCTCCTCCTCCTCCACCCCTACCCTCCTCCTCCCCCTCCTCCTCCTCCTCCTCCTCCTCCTCCCCTCCTCCTCCTCCTCCTCCTCCTCCTCTCCCTTCCTCCTCATCCCTCCTTCCTCCTCCTCCTCCTCCTCCTCCTCCTCCTCCTCCTCCTCCTCCTCCTCCTCCTCCTCCTCCTCCTCCTCCTCCTCCTCCTCCTCTCTCCCCCTCCCTCCTCCTCCCCTCCTCCTCCTCCTCCTCCTCCTCCTCCTCCCCTCCTCCTCCTCTCCTCCTCCTACTCCTCGCCTCTCCTCCTCCTCCTCCTCCTCCTCCTCCTCCTCCTCCTCCTCCTCCTCCTCTTCCTCCTCCTCCTCCCCCCCATCCAACTTCTGGTGGTGGTGGTGGAAAACAAGCCCATCAATAAGCCCAACGATGCCCAGGAGCCCCGCCGCTGCCCCCCGGCGTCCTGCACGTCCTCGTCGTCCGACTCCGCGGAGCTGTCGGAGCCCTGCGCGCGCCCAGAGGCCGGTGCCCCCGGGGGGCGGCCCCGCAGCTGCTGCGCCGCCCGCGCGGACCCCCGCCGCGCCGCTGCCCCCACGGGCGTCCTGGGGCGCCCCTTGCGACCCGACGCTGCTGCCAAAGCTGCCACGCTGCGAACAATCACGACCCACAGGGGGAGCGAGCAGTGGCATAAAACATGGAGACTCGGAGGTCCGCGCGGAGTTCTCGGATGGGCGCTGGACCCCCCCTCCCTGGCGCGCCGGAGCGCGCCAGGGGCGGCGCCGGAGGCGCTGCCAGGGGGCTCCAGCGCCGATCCGAGAACTCCGCGCGGACCTCCGAGGTGTCATGTAGATGTCATTGGTCGTTCCCCTAACCAAAGCCCTGGACCCCGTCCTCCTGCGGTATTTTTCGAGCCAGATCGATCCGCGATGGTCCACGCCCAGGGCTCGGCGGTGGACAAACCTCTCTTTAGTAAACCACCCTTTAGTGAAGGCGGCCTAGGACCGAAACCGACGGACCTGGACCCGCAAAAATAACGGCTGCGACGCCCTCTCGCGAACCGAAAACGGCCAATTCACTAATCGACGTGTCCGGGTAGGAGGTCTATCCAACTCCGAAGGGCGCCCACGCCCAAATGAGGAAGAAAACGCGCAGCGCCCCCATCTCGGGGTCCTAGGCGTCCGACTCCGCGGAGCTGTCGGAGTCGTACGCGCCCAGGCCGATGCCCCCGGGCGGCTCCGCGGCGGCGCCGCGGGGCGCCGCCGCCACGACCTCGCCGGCGACGTCGTCGACGTCGTCGCCGTCGCCGCCGTCGGCGTCGTCGTCGGCGTCGCCGTCGTCGGCCACGTCGTCGTCGGCGTCGTCCTCGTCGTCGTCGTCGCCGTCGCCGCCGTTGACGTCGTCGTCGTTGGCGGCGGCACCGTCGTCGTCGTCGTCGCCGTCGGCGGCGGCGGCGGCCTCGCCGGCGGCGGCGGCGGCGGCCTCGCCGGCGGCGGCAGCGGGCGGGCGGCCTCCGCCGCGGGGGGCGCCGCGCCCGCCTCGGCGGCGCGCCGGCGGCGGCGTCCTCGGCGCCCGCGCAGCGCCGCTTCGCGGCGGGCGGCGGCGCCTCGTCGGCCAGGGTCTGTGCCTGCTCCTCCTCCTCCTCCTCTCTCCTCCTCCTCCTCCTCCTTCCTCCTCCTCCTCCTCCCTCCTCCTCTCCTCCTCCTCCTCCTCCTCATCCTCCTCCTCCTCCCTCCTCCTCCTCCTCCTCCTCTCCCTCCTCCTCCTCCTCCTCCTCCTCCTCTCTCCTCCTCCTCCTCCTCCTCCTCCTCCTCCTCTCCCCTCCTCCTCCTCCTCCTCCTCCTCCTCCTCCTCCTCCTCCTCCCCCTCCTCCGCCTCCTCCGGATCGGCGGCCCCGTCGGCGGGTCGGCCGAGGGTGCCGTTCTGCCGACGGGGCCGCCGATGCGACCCGACGCTCCCCGACCTGCTCCGACCCGACCTGAGCGAGGGAAACGGGCCTTAATTACGCGAGGCATGAGGCAGGAGGGCGGATCAAGTAGATTGCGACCAGTCCCTCCCAGAGAATAACAAAACACAGCAAACACAGATCAACTCTTGAAGTAGGAAGGCACTTGAAGTAGAGTAGCATCTGAGCATCGAATAATACCCACTTGCAACGACCGGCGTGTACCGACCTTGCGCGGGCGGTGGCTTACGCGGGCAGCCAGCGCGGAACGCTGCCTTGGAAGCGAGACACCTACACGCGACCTTAGCTACGCGGGCAGCTCACGCGCGCATGCTCCTCCTCCTCCTCCCTCCTCCTCCTCCTCCTCCTCCTCCTCCTCCTCCTCCTCCTCCTCCTCCTCCTCCTCCTCCTCCTCCTCCTCCTCCTCCTCCTCCCGCGAGGATCGAAGAAGAAGAAGAAGAAGAAGCAGCACAAGCAGAAACTGTCGGACCTCTCGGCGCTGGCGCCCATCGGGCGGCGCCTCCGGCGCCGCCCCTGGCGCGCTCCGGCGCGCCAGGGGGGGGTCCAGCGCCCATCCGAGAAATCCGCGCGGACCTCCGAGTTTCTATGTTTTATGCCACTGCTCGCTCCCCTGTGGGTCGTGATTGTTCGCAGCGTGGCAGCTTTGGCAGCAGCGTCGGGTCGCAAGGGACGAACCCCCAAAACCGCGCGGAACTCCAACAACCTATGTTCGTGCTGTGATTCTTCTTTGGTCCTCGCAGGAACGGCCAGCATCGAATCGATAAGTCGGGTCGGATCGGATCAGTGTAATGGGCCAGATCGGCAGCACCGTCGGCGGCGGCGCCCTTGAAGCAGGAACAGAGCCAACATCGGATCAACGAACCGGATCGGATCGGATTGTGCATTCTATCAAGCCGCATCGGCACGAAACCAGAACTATGTCGGAACCGGCACGCCATGTATACTCATCCGGCCGCCACGGATCGACAGAACATCCGAATCGGATCGGATCGACAGAATAACCGAGAAGGAGGAGGAGGAAGAGGAGGAGGAGAGGAGGAGAGGAGGAGGAAGAGGAAGATTGATTGGATCGATATGGGCCCTGCCTCGGCGCCACTGTCGGCGGCGGCGCCCCTGGAGCCGCCCACTCTGAGGAAGCTGGGGAGCTTCCGCTTCTCCAGCTTCTGCGCCGCTCTCCTTGTCAGGGCTGGACCCAAACGTTGTGTTTCGTTTTGTGCTCGTTCCTCGACCCCCCCCCCCGCCTGCCAATCCGACAAACGAAACACCGCCGAACTCCAGCACACCAGCCTTCAGGTCCAGCCGTGCTCCTGGTGGCGTCCTCGTCGAGGAAGGCGCTGCCCTGGCTGCTGGTCTTCTCGCCCGAGGAAGAAGAGGCGGCACGAACAGAAACTTTCGGATGTCCGCGCGGGTGTCCTGGATCGGCGCTGGACCCCCCTCCCTGGCGCGCTCCGCGCGCCAGGGGTGGGCGCCGGAGGCGCCGCCAGAGCGGTCGAGCGTCGATGCAAGGAATCCGCGCGGGCCTCCAGAAATTTACAGTCAACACGTGTGCTAAGGACGGGTGGTAAGGACGCGAGACCCTTGGAGGCCGCAAGGGGGGGATTGTGTGGGCGGCGGCCGACCGGGGAAAACGGCAAAGGACGGGCCGCAGGGGCAAGGACACCAGGGCATAGCCCTAGATGAGGGCGCGCGCGCCCTTGCACTAGGCGCGTCGACGGTATGCTTGTGCGAGCTGCTCTTCCTCGATCTTGGCTTCTTTGAACTCCTCCAACTCCGCGTCCTTCCGCTGCCGGTCCCGCTGCCGCTCGGCGGCCTCTTTGGAGTCCCGAAACGGTGCGGTGACAGACCGTGCGGTGACCTCGAAATCCCCCAAGACCTCACCGCACGGTCCGTCACCGCACGGTCCTGGGACCCCGGAGGCCCCAGACGCCCGAGACGTCCTCGGAGAAGGCCTCGAGTCCCAAAACCGTGCGGTGACCCCGAAGCCCCACCGACTAACCACACGGTGTGGTCACCACCCCGTTTGGGGGCCTCCGAGCCTCCCGGTCCGCGCTCTCCTGGTCGAGGACGACGCCGGAGCTCTTCATCTGCAGGAGCAGGGCCATGCTCCGGGGGTCGCGGGAGGTGTCCGCGGCCCAAGTTGCCCCAAGCGGGAGGCTCCTCCTCCTCCTCCTCCTCCTCCTCCTCCTCCTCCTCCTCCTCCTCCTTCCCCTCCATCCAACTCCTCCTCCAACTCCTCCCCCACGCTCCCGTGCTGGGGCCCTCTGAAGCGCTCTGCGCCTCGTGCTCTAGGGGTGCCTCTGGAGGGGGCAGCAGCGACAGGCTCAGCCAGGACGAGCTCGGCCAGGCTGAAAAACTCGGCCAGGCGGAGCTCGGCGGGCCCAACTGAAGGGGCCCAGGGGCAGACAAATAAGTAGGCACAAATGACAGGATTCCCAATCGTTTTCCGTAGTTTCTGTGTTTTTGACTTCCCCCCCACTTCCCATACTTTCCTATATGTTTTCAAAGATATCGACGATTCATCGTGTCTGTGTGCTTTTGTCCCCTCCTGACCCAACTCGGCCAGGCTGAGCTCGGCCAGGCCGACCTCGGCCACGCCGAAGCCAGCCCGTGCCGCGTTCAGCGTGGCAGAGCTCGCCGGGTCGAGGTCGGCTTGGCCGAGCCTCGCCTGCCTGGCGAGCCTGTCCCGGGGGGTGCCTCCTCCTCCTCCTCCACTCCTCCTCCTCCTCCTCCTCCTCCTCCTCTCCTCTCCTCTCCTCCCTCCCTCCTCCTCCTCCTCCTCCTCCTCCTCCTCCTCCTCCTCCTCCTCCTCCTCCTCCTCCCTCCTCGTCCTCGTGCCTGGGTGCCTCCTCGGGAACGCTGGGGCGGCACCTCGGGCCAGGGGGGACGCCCCCGGCAGCACCCGGGCTGTTGTCGGTCCTCTGCTGCAGCGCCCGGGCCTCGTTGAACTCGCCGTTCTTGCTCTTCGTGGCGGCCACGGCCATGATCTCCAGCATCTGGGCCTCTCGGGGACCCTCGGAACTGCATCTCTCTCTCTCTCTCTCTCTCTCTCTCTCTCTCTCTAAATACATAGACATACAAAAGCAGGCGGAGCTCCGCAAGGGCTTCTTGGATGGGCGCAATGCATGTGGATGCAATTCGAGCAAGGACCGACCGTTCTGGCATTCCTGAAGGCATACCACGAAACGTTCTTAGAAACTAGGAGTGTTCTACTAGCCAGCATTGTTCTTAGAACATAATCCCGATGTGACAAAAAAGACAATATCAGCCATACATGTTCCAAGAAGATTTCGTGCAGACCACAAAAAGGTTCTCAGAACATTATTTGGCGGACCTATAGGCGAGCCAGGACGCCTCGCCACTGCTCGAGCAGTGGGCTGCCCCTCGAGCCTCGGCATCGATGCCCTCGTCCACCGCCGCGGCTGCGTCGGCGCGCGCCTGCCTGCTGAAGTCGTTGCGGCCGAGGAAGTCCAGCGTGGACGCGCCGGCCATCGCGAGCCGCCACGCAGCGGCGAGAGGGGGGCCCCAGGGCCCAAGACCTCTGGCGTCGTGAGCATCCCCGGAGATCCTGGCGTCGCAGCCGTGTGAGAACGGGCGACTCTGCTGATGCTGCTCCCGTCGCACCTTAAGGGCCACAAATAATTTCGAGCACCCGGAAAAGTGCCGAGACAGCGTCGGACGAGTGTCTCCCAGGGCCCGGCACGTGAACACCCTCGAGTTTGGGTACTTTTTTTGGTGCTCGGAATTCTTTCCGGCGGTCAAGGCTAAAGTAGGTTGGAACATCATCAGACTTTGCCTTGCTTCGGGCCCCAGGGCCATCACAGATCGGTCCGGCTCGAAGACTGCAGCATCAGGATGGGCTCCTGGTTCCAGGGCTCCCATCGTGATTTCTGCTTGGATGACCGCGGGAGGTGTGGAGGGGATAGGGAGGTTATACGAGGACACTCAGGTGGCCTGTAGCAACAGGGCATACAAGTGGGCTAGAAGTGCCCTATGTGGCTCAAGATCTGCACGAACTTGGCTGCGCCCACTTCAGCGGAGTTATCGAACCCACCCAGGCCACTCAGGGCACTTCAAGCAAACCTCCACGTCAGCTTACGCCAGATATGCCCCACCTTAGCATCCACGTGTAACCCCCCCCCGCGGTCCCCTTAGCAACCCCCGCAGTCATCCCAGCACAAGTCTGCAGTCTTTGCGCGACGTCGGATCTCAAGGCCGACCGGCGTTGTCTCTCAGCGTCTCGGCCCCCGAGGCCTGCTCCAGGGCCCGGGGGCCGCCCCCATCGGAAAAGATTACCCAGGAGCAGAAGCGGCGGTCGCCATGGAGGGAGTGAGGGGCCTGGGGGGCCCAGTTGACCCTGCGATCCGACACTGCGAGAAAGAAGGTGCAACATCCCGAAAAGTCACGCCTGGAGTCCTGGACCCCCTCGTACTGCGGCGACCTTCGAGCCGGGCCCGAAGCAGGGAGAGAACGCCCGGTGGTGCGCCCAGATCTCCAAGGACGTCGCGTCAGGGGTCCGAGGCGCCGGGAAGGGGGCTGGGCGCCGGCGCGGGCGGGGGGCAGAGAGGAAGGAAAGACTGCATTGAAGGGGCCCCAGGGCACACAAATAAATACACACAAATCAGAAGATTCCCCGAATTTTCCTATATTTTCTTGGTTTTTGTCTCCCCCCCCACTGCCCATATTCTCCCATACTTTCCTGGGAATCGACGATTGATCGTGTCTGTGTGTTTCTTCCCCTCCCGATGCATGAGCGCAAACTTTCGGATCCCCGCGCGGACTTCTTGGATCGGCGCTAGGCCCCCTCCGTGGTGCGAGGGGCGCGACAACGGCGGCGCCAGAGGCAACACAGGGGGGCCCAGCGCAGATCCGAGAAATACGCGCCGAACTCTCCGACAGCTTATGTCTGTGCAATGCGTCTTTCTTCTTCGACGGCAGCCAGGAGGAGCCCCGCGTGGGGGCACCCGCCTGCACAGCAGGCGACCACAACCACATCGAAGACACACCCTGGGGGATGTCAGTCATCCCAAACTTGTCGCAACACCGAAACCAGCTTCGTACCGGTTTTGTGGGTGGTGTGGGGCCCCAGGACGGCCAAATCGACCATCACTCATGTCGAGGTCGGTGGGTTCTCCCCCGAGGGACCCTCCAGAAAGAAAGTTAGCTGTGGTGGTGGTTCTTTGTTGTGCCCGGAGTGCAGTAAGATGTAGCCATGACGAGGATAATTGGGGCGAGATGAATCGAGAATCTCTGACGTCAGGCGGCTCTGGAAGACGTATCGGGCCTCGCGGCCTTCTCAGACGCTCTGAGAGCGTTCCTGAATGCTCTGGAACGGATTTACGGGCCTCTCGTGGCCGTTCGGGACGATCCTGGCACCCCGGGAACGCCCGCGGCGAGGCGCAGCCGCTGGAAGTCACCTTTAGGCTGGAAAACCGCCGAGAACCGACAGCAATGCCCGAAAACCTCGAAACCTCGATTACGAGAAAGCCCTCTCCCCCTGAGCCTGTGCTCCCTCCCCCTATGCCTTCTGGCCCCCCCGAGGCTCTGGAATCTCCCCGTCTGAGCGGGAACGCTCAGGGGGGACTGGCCCAGTGGAAGAAGAGTCGATGTGAAATCGGCGATGAATATCTATAGGTATGTCTCTCGCTATCTATCGATCGATCTATCTATATGTATATATAGTTATCTCTATATATATATATATCGATAGGTCTATATATATATATATAGAGATCGACCGTTATATATATGTATATATAAATGTATATATATATATATATATATATATGAACATTTGTCTATATGCGTGTATGCGTATTTGTATGCATATACTTGTGTATATATATATATATATGTATTTGATCGCCGGTGGATCGGCGATGGGCATTTCAGAGCGACACCCTCGTCTCCGCCCCGTCCGATGCAAGGCCCGGCCCGCGTGCAGGCACCCGCGCGGGCGCAGGCGGGCGCCGGGCGCCCCGGCCTCCGTGTGCTGCACGGCGGCGGCGGCGGCGGGCCGCACAGAGCAGAGCGAGAGAGAACGACTGATATATGTGGAGAGAGAGAGAGAGCGAGAGAGGGAGACAACAAGCAACAAAACAAGGGACACAACCATAGACAGGGGAGGGTGATATCTATGTGTGTTTTCACAAAGAAAAACACAAACAGACAAACAAACAAACAACAGCAGCAACAGGAGCAACAAAAGCAACAGCAACAACACACATGTGTATACGTATGTATGTATGTGTATACACATTATATATTTATATACATAGAGAGAGATGGAGAGAGAGGGGAGGAATCAACTGTATAAGCGCAGAGACTGGTGGAGGTGCGGGTCCGCGCGGGCCTCCCGTGCGCGCGCGGAGCGCGCCCGGGGCGGCCGCCAGCAAGGGCCCAGCGACGGTCGTCGACATGCGCGGAACTCCGAATGTTTATGCCATGCCGCTTTGCTTCCAAAAGGAAGAAATGGATTTCCCGTCGGTCGGACGAAATGGGCAGAAGCAGGAAGCAGGAAGGCGTTGGAAACAGATTGGGCCTCCGTCCGCCCCCTGCAGAGGAGGGCAGAGGGAGAACCGCTCGACTCGACTCTTGAAATAGGAAGGCAGCTATTGGTTTCCCCTCGGTGTTTGATGGTTTTCGCCATTCTCACATCTTCAGCTTTCCGACGCTCGAAGGCGGCCTAGGAGGCTCCCAAGATCGCCCCAAGACGGCCCCAGAGTCCCCCAAGAGGGCCAAAAGACGGCCCAAGAAGGCCCAAAGACGGCCCCAAAGAAAGGCAAATGGGGAACCCGAACGGACATTTCGAGCCCTCGGCCCCAAGGGCTTCCCAGGAGGCCCCCAAAGAGGCCCCGAAGAGGCCCCAAGAGGCTCCAAGAGGCTCCCAAGAGGCATCAAGAAGCTCCCAAGACGCCCTCAGCAGGCTCCCAAGAGGCCCCTAAACTGTCCCAAAAAGGCACCCGAAAGCGCCCCGAAGAAGCATCCCTGAGAACTCTGACCCTCAACCCAGGCACGGTGGCAGGAGGATGGGCCGAAGGCCATTCGATACCTACGTTCAACGACTGGCGCGCATCGCCGCTGATGCCAACCCATAGGTCTCCGACTCTAACATACAAGCTCCTCCCTGCTCTTTCTCCTGCTCCTCTCCGCCGTCCACCTCCCCATCCTACCTCCCTGCATCTTCTTCCCCGTCCTCCTCCTTCTCCTCTTCCTCCTGCTCCTCTCCGCCATTCGCCTCCCCACCCTACCTCCCTGCATCTGCTTCCCTGTTCTCCTCCTGCTGCTCCTCCTCCTCCTCCACCTCCTCCTCTTCCTTCTCCTCCCTCTTCCCTCCCTTCCTAAACGGCCAGACCCTATTGGCCCTGGCACTCCCACGGCGGTAAGAGATTGGCCTTTCTTCCTGGGACTGCTATCATATCCAATCCCTCTCCTCTTCACCCATGCTCGAGGGACGAGGAGGCAGGGGACGAGGGAGGACGCAAGCTCGCGCTGGCGCGGGTAGGAAGGAGGGGGACGAAAGGGAGGAGGTGGAAGAAGGAGGAGGACCTACACAAAGCAAGATGCATCAATGGTGCGTCCCCCCATGATGACACAGCAACGTGCGAGGCGCAGGGGCGAGAGCCCATTTCGACTAGAAAACCACCGCCGGTCCATCCGTGAAGCTGGTGCAACAGTTGAAGACGATTGCGCGTGGTGCTCAGGCGAGAACCTCCTTTCGAACACCACCCGCCCTCCACTTGTTCTTTAAGCCTGTTGCAGACTTTAGGACCGATGAGCGAGGCGCTAAGGCAACACCCCACTTTGAAAAGCACCCCCCCACCTGCATCCTCCTAGCCGTTGCAAGTTGCAAACTTCAGGCCGTCTCAGAAAGAGAGCGCCCGGGGTGCGTGAGAGAGGAGTTGCCTGTAAGGAAGGAGATGGTGGAGCCTCTCCTCCTCCGCCTCCTCCTCCTCCACATCACCCCACTTCCTCCAAGCAAGGGCGTCCTCGAATGATCCCCAGTGGAGTGCAGCACAAAGCATCCGTCCCAAAATGGCAGGCATCGGCGTTGAACCCCAAAATGGTAGGCATCGGCGCGAAACCCCAAACTGGCAGACATCGGCGCGGAGTCCCAAATGACGGAATCGGAAAAGACAGGAGAAGGACGAGGAGATCAAGGAGGGAGAGGATGACAAGGTGGACAATGATGGTCCACCTTTCTACATGGGCACCTACATGTCAGACCTTCTGTGCATGTTTGGGAGTAAACGAGTAAATGTCAACAGCGGTGCCAATTCAAACATCCGCGCACCTTCGACATGTTGTCAACCCCTTGGCTTGCATGTGCAAGCTTCTGCCTCGTGGGCTGATTCGGTGGTCAGCTGTAGCCTCTCACCGAGGCTCGGTCGAGGTGTTTGAAATTCCAACGAAAACTGCAATCCAAAAAAGGATGCTTAGCTGTTGGTGGCAACATGAATTGGTCGCCACTCTTCACCAACAAGATATTTGGGGGCATGTTCAACAAATCGAAACGTGTACATACCTGTGCGTGAGCGCCTTCCGTGGCAACACGCCGACACGGATCCAGGGTGCAAACTCAGATGGCGTGCAGCATCTCTCACAGATGGATACTCTGTTGATTCCTTCTTTAACAGATGATGTGCTACCACAGCTTTGCACATCGCCATGGGGCCCCTCAGTCGTGCCTCATTCGTCATGTAAGAATGTATGATGTTTTCCTGTCGTGAAGCCCATTGCAAATTAACAGCTTGGTTATTTCCCGGATCGCCATCGACGTGGTTGACCTCACGATGCTCTGGATCTGGTGGCGGCCCGATAAACACACGGGCCACAATCCTATGCACATTAATGTTCTGACGATTAACTTGAATTTTAAAATAGCCCGAGGCACAACGAGTGCCCAAGCCAGCAATTCTCCTTGAAGAGTGTACTCGGCCCTCAGAACTTACACTCCAATTCAAGAGACCCTCCCCCGTGTCTGGATGCACCGCCTGCCTCCATTGCTCACCAGGAGCAACATTCAACACATCCACGTTTGCGTACTTGAACTCGTAGCCTCCACTTCGCTTGGTCAATCCTCTGCAACACGATGAAATACTTGAGCTATGTACGTTCAGTTGTCGCGCAGCTAAAACCAGCGATGGGTACCAGTTCCACATTTCTGTCCCGACGAATCTGCCACATACTGGTTTGGCAAGCAAGCGTCCACCATGTTGTCTACTTGAGTTACTGCAATATGAATGACGAATATTCTGTGAGGGTGTAACGTACTCTAGGTTCGTCACGCGATTATTCTCCCTATCTCCATCTTTGTGATTGACCTGGCAGTGCTGCAATGATGGGGGATCCCCGAGAAACGCCTCTGCCACAAGACGATGGACCAAACGGAAACGTCCTCCTACTCGAGTTACTCGATAGCCATCTGGATGCAAGCAACCCAATCCGATTGAGCCTGTAACGTACTGCAAACGGCCAAAGCTACTCACCATGGAGCACCTCGGATGCGTCGTGGGCGTGTTCGAAACATGTCGAGCAGCAAAACCTGTACGCACCAATATCGCGAACGATGAAGCCACAGAGGGTGAACATACGCCGCGAGACACTGCAAGTTGTAGCATCCTGACCGATTAAACGTTTCAGCGAGGCGGAAAAGGCAAGGACCAGGTTACTCGCAATGACCCTCAGACTAGCAGGTGCCGACATGGCTAAAGCTGCATGTTTTGAGCTGCAATGGGCACCGCTTGAGCCAAAACGATTGAATCAATAATGGTTGAGCCGAATGGCTACGGAAAAGGAGGACAAAGGGGATGAGGAGGAACACATGGGGGAGAGGAGGACCAGGTGGACGAGGATGGGGTCCTGATCTTCATCCCCTCCCAGGGCTTGTCTCTGTGGGCCTCTGGCTCACGCCGATGGCCGCCCTGAGCTCGGGCCCCACTGCGCTCATGGAGCTTAGGTGCGCTCTCCATTTATAGTCCAATCTCGTCGCCCTCCTCCTCCCTCTTGGCGGCGCGCGCAAGGGGGTGGAGGGAGGGGGGAAGGCTTCTTAGAAGGAAGCTGTTTCTGAGAAGGCGCCGGTCTTACATCTAGTTATAGATAGGTCCCGCGCCTTCTAAGAAGCAGGGGTGCTTCTAAGAAGTCCACCCCATCTGCGCGTGGCTGCCCCTTCGTCTTCGGGGAGGAGGACTCCGATCCCCTCCCTCTCGGAGCAGGGCGAGTTGAGAGACAACGCCACCTCAACATCGGTGCCCGGGCCCCCCGCCCGGAGTCCAGACGCACCAATTTTCTAATGTGCGTCCATCCGTGGAGAGGAGTGGGATCCCTGGAAGGCCAGCTACCGCTGTCTCAAATCGCCCTCCTCTGATCGTCGTCGTCGCCAATGTTGCCGCTGTTTTTGGTTCATAATTCGGCTCTCCGGCGGCCGGTCGGGACGATCCAGATCCCCCCAGAACGCCCTGGGCGAGGCGCAGCTGCTGAAGGCATCCTGAGGCTGGGAAGCCGCCGAGGCCCGACGAAACCGCTTGAAAACCTCGAGCCTCGAGTCCGAAAAGCCTCGACGCCCCCCCGAAGGCCAACTACCGTTGTCTTATATCGCCCTCCTTTGACCCTCGCCCCCCTTCTCCTCGCGGGGCGAACGCCCCGATGGGAGCCGACACAGGCCCGAGCCCTGGACCAGAGGCTTCTCCGCCTCGCCCTGCCCCCTTCCTCCTCTCCTAATTCCTCTACGTTCTTCTTCTTATTATTATTATTATTGTTATTATCTTCCTCCTCCTCCTCCTCCTCCTCCCCGCCCTTCGTCCTCCTCCTCCTCCGCCACTCCCCCTTCTCTCCCAATTCCTCCGCTTTCTTATCCTTACTATTACTCTTCTCCTCCTCCTCCTCCTCCTCCTCCTCCTCCTCCTCCTCCTCCTCTCGACTTGGGCATCACTTGATGGGGAGAAATAAAATGGAAGGCGAAGAAACGTGCACCTGTCGTTCCCCTCATGAGCGCCAATGGGTACCTTTCAAGTGAATACAAGGTGCCGCTTTATTTCACCCATCTTCCCCCCGCCATTTTCCCCAACCTGCGACGTCCTGTCTTTTCCAGTGCGGGCTCCCCGGAAGTCCCCACCCTGCCCCCAGGACTGGCGTTTCGTCCCGAGTCGTTTTGTTTGCGGCCCTGGAGCCCCGGGAGGGGCCTCTGGAGGCAAAAGCACGTAGACATGCACTCGGCGCCGTGTTTTTCAGCGCATCGTGGATCTCTGGGGACCGCCCCGCCGCCCCATGGCGCAGCGCCCCATCGATCGACGGCGCGTCTCGACGATCCCGCCGGGGGAAGCGCCTGGAACAGAGAGCCCCTCTCCCCCCGCGCGCCCGCGCTCGCTCGCGGAGCCGCCCCTAGTACGAAGCGCACGGGGCCCTGAAGGCAACGGGTCTTGCTCCCTTTATGGGAACGAAGAATGACACAAACATAACAACTCGGAGATCCGCGCGGATTGCTCGGATCCGCGCCGGACACCCCTGGCGGCGCCTCCGGCGCCGCCCCTGGCGCGCTCCGCGCGCCGGGGAGGGGGGTCCAGCGCGGATCCAAGAAATCCGCGCGGACCTCCGAGTTTTCTTGCGTATGTGTCAGTCTTCGTTCCCCTGTCCCTGGGCTCCGCCCGGGGCCCTTCCTCAGGACCACCTACCAGCCGTAGAGTTAGGTCGGGCCTGTCCCCCTACAGGCGGATTTTGACGAAAAAGTAAAGCATACCCCAAAAACGCTCAAAAATAATCAAAAATGCTAAACAAAATCCTCACAGGACTATTCTTTCACTTCTTGTGCATACTCCTCCTGTAGAGGGACAGGCCCGACTTAACCATAGAGCCACTCTGCTGTTCGCGATGACGCCCGTGGCCAGCCCCGCCCCACCCCCCACCATCCACCCCCTCTGGTCACGCCAGGATTCGCGCCGGCGCCTTCTGGGACCACACTACAGGCATTCCCAGGAGGCGCGGGCGCAAACCGTGACGTGACTGGCCCCTCCCCCCTCCTCCCTGGTCACGCCCGGAGCTCGCCAGTAGGGGGCACATGCGAACCCTACCCCTACCCCCCACGATTTCTCAGGGGGAGGGTGGGGCTCACTTCGCTCGGGAGCTCCCGAGCGAAGTCAACCCCACCCTCCCCCTGAGAAATCGTGGGGGGTAGGGGTAGGGTTCGCATGTGGTGGCCTCCTAGCCAGGGGGTAATCGTGGGACGATAGAGTGGCCCAAGATGCGCTTCAGGATTTCCAAGGCTAGCGGTCTTCGTTCCTGGAGCCCGGGCGGAACCGTGGGAATCTGGGAAATCCTGAGAACCCTGCATCTGCACTGCATTGTTATCCTGAGAGCCCGTGCGGAACATTGGGGAATCCGGAGAATCTAGGAAACCCTGCAATGCATTGTTCTCATGACCTCGTGGTCCTCTGAAGCACAACGGCCTCCTATTCGTCCTGGCTCGGGGGTCTGCTAACCCGGGTCAATCCAAACACGGGTCAGCCGGAAGCCAAAAAACTGAAATGCAGGACAAAAAGGCTGCAACGCCAGTCTTCGCAAACCCGGGTCGGCCAATATGCGCGGCCGCCCCGCGGCCACGAGCAGCTCGCTAACCCGGGTCAGCCAGAGGGGGTCTTCGCAAGATCCTGCAAGACCTGGTGCCCTGGCTGACGCCCGTTTGCATTGACCCCCGTCTCTGGAGCCCCGACTGACACGTTCTCGGACCGTCCCCGGCGCCCGTGGAGGGCCACGGTAGGGCCTGGGGACGGCGACACACCTCGGGACCCGTTCCCGCAGGACCCGCATGCTTCATGGCGGCCACACCCCGCGGAGCTGTCCCCTGGGGGGGTAGCAGAAAGGTAGCGTATACCGCCACTCCCTGGACCTCTCCTGAGGCTGCGCCCTGGCCAAGCACTCGACGCGAATCCAGCCGCGGCGACGCCCAAAAGGATCAAGATGGCGAGAGCGAGGGAAAGGTAGCCGCATCCGTATCGGTACACATTCGGTGGCGAAAACGGGGGAAAGGTGGCCATCTTGGTACATATTCGGAGGAAGACGTGACATCGGCATCAGCATAAAATGTCGGAGCTCCGCGCAGATGCCTTGGCTCCACGCTGGGGGGGGGGGCCTCCGCTGGCGCGCGGAGCGCGCCAGGGGCGGCGCCAGAGGCGCCGCCTGGGGGCCAAGCGCAGGTGCAAGAAGCCCGTGCGGAGCTCCGACAATATGTATGTATATACATATATATATATAGAGAGATAAACATATATACACATATATATATATATATATATATAGGCATCTATGCATAGTCATAGATATGATTAACACATGAATACTTTTTCGAAGACATCCTAGATGGGGTCCGAATAGATGGGGTCGGAGCACCGCGCCGCCTATTAGATATCATGATGCACCTGCTTCTTCTTTAGAGGCCCCCTAGATGGGGTCCGACTACGCAGATGGGGTCGGAGCACCGCGCCGCCTCGCCGATGCACCGCTGATGCATCGGCACCGTAGGCGTTGAGAACATCGAGCTCCACATCGAGCCGCACCGGCGACGCATCGGCGATCCTCCGAGCCCACCTGCAGCATGCGGGAAAGGGCTCCTGCGAGGCACGGTTCCTGGGCCCCCGGGGCTTCCCCCCAGGACGAGCTCTTCATCCCGAGTCCTTTCCTCTGAAAAACAGCCCCCGAGACGCGATCCCACCCCAGGCCAGGGCGGACCTGGTGCAAGCACGCCTCTACGCCTCCTTCGAGGGCCCGCTCCTCTACGCCCAGAAGGTCCCGGGGCAGGCGCCCCGAGAACCCCAAAAAACGGCAAAAAACCTCTGGATCCGTTCCCCTCAGGACCCGCTTCCCTCAGGACCCTCCTCCCCCCATCGGAAAAACCTAGATTTGAGTCGGGCGTGTCCCCCTACAGGGGGATTTTGGGCGAAAGATAAAAACGAATTCTCAAGCAAGACCCCCCCCAATGGGCAAAAACAGTCAGAAAATCGTGTAGCTGATCTTCCCGGCGCCGGAGACGGCCATGTATCGAGGAATGGGCCCCTCGGTGGGGCCGAAACCAGCTGCATGCAGCAAATTTCGTAATTAACCCCCCTTTTCCCAATCCCCCCCCTGTCGTCCGGCCCGAGAGGCGCGAGGCGCGCAGAACCTCGCGCCCTCGAGGGCGCCCTTCTGGGTCCTTCGAGCAGCGGTGTGCCCGCTCCCCCGCGGACCCCCCGCGGCCCCCTGCGCAGGGGGCCCTTCTCGCGCGCACTGCCCGGCGGGCCCGCCCGGCGGGCCTGCTCCCACTTGGTGGAGGAGCTGCCGGCGGGCCGCTGGGCGGGGGTGCTGCCGGCGGCGGCGCCGCCAGGGGTGCTGCCTCGAGGCGGCGGGGGGGGGGGCCAAAGAGCCAACGCATTGGAACAAATCCAGACGGAGGTGTTTTTCTGAAATTTCGGCCCCTACTGGGATGCACGCCCTGTTTGGGGTGTGCTTCGGTCCCTTAGAAGTTGTTTGGTGTGTTTACGTTAACCTACTTATGTGGGTCTCTTAGCCATGTACATTAACGCACATGCTAACCTCGGGAAGTACTTAACCCCAATCTTCGGTAATCAGGTTCCTAAATAGGATGCGCAGCACAAGTTCGAAATAAACACTGTTGGAAATGCAAGACATGTTCACGCAGTCAAAGATAAAATCCGTTCGTGTATTCTTGTTTTCCAACGTTCTGTCATTCCAAAGCGAAGGCAACAGTGCAGAATACTGCGGCGAAAAAGTGTAAAGTCGACGTCGGCCGATCGCCCCCCC